TGCTGCACCAGCTCGGGCTTCTGCGGGAACAGCAGTGGGCACTCGGGGCACTTGAACACACTGGTCTGCGTGGCGCTGATGTTCTGGTAGAAGTGCTGCTGAATGTGCCTCTTCTTGTTGAAGATCATCTCACAAGAGCACTTGTAGATGAGCCTGGCGAGACAGGGCCCAGTCAGAACAGCAGTCCCTCCACGCCCCACTCTGGCAGGGGCGCCCTGCCCTCGCACTCACTGGGAGGGCCTGTGGGGCTGGGCTGGGTGCTGGGCGGCGCTGTGGTCCGCAGTGCTGCTGGCCGTCTTGAAGGCCATGGGGCAGAACGCACACTTGTGGAAGACCTGGCAGTGTCGCTCCTGGATGTGGCTCTTCAGCAAGGCCAAGGTCAGGTGGACAACCCCACAGTGGATGCACCTGGGCGGGAGACAGGGACGTTAGAGGTGGGGGGGTTAAGGGGGGCCCCGGCACTGGGGCTTCCCCAGAGCACCCTGCCCTGTTGTGCCTGGAGGCGAGGTGAGGAGAAAGCCCAGCCCAACCTGGCGGCCAGGGTGCCCTTCTGCCAGTCAGAGTGCAGAGAGGCCGGGAAATGCCAGGAAAGAGGCCTAAGTCCAGGCAGGATCCCAGAAGGCCACGGGCTGGGGCTGGGGCGGCCGCCAACCGTCGGGAATGCGGGCGGGCGGGCGCAACAGTGTCCCACAGGGTGGGACCCAGTGTGGGAGGTCAGTGCGGCTGCTCAGTTTCACATTCCAGGGGCCCAGTAGTCACGGGCCAGCGCCACGCTCGCCACAGGACGGTGCCATCTCTTCTCCATTCCAGAATCCTGACCACTCTTCCCTCTTCCTTTTTGAGAAGGTGCTTGGGGTGAGGTTCAAAGAGTCGCCACTGCACACAATTAGCAAGGAGTAGTTAAGAATGAGGGCTGCTAGCAATGGATTCTGAGGAGCACTCACAGGAGACGGACACATGCTTGGATGACACATTTTTCTAGGGCTGGCATGTGCTGTAACCACACCTATGAGGGGAGGCAGGTTCAAGCTAAGCCCAGGAAAAAAGTGAGGCCTCATCTTACCCAGCAGGCCAAGCACAGAGTTGTACATATGTGATCCCAGTCCTAGGGAGGCACAGGTAAGAAGATAATGGTCTTGAAAGACCCTACATAGCTGGGTGCTGGTGGCTCACACCTGTCATCCTAGCTACTCAGGAGGCTGAGATCTGAGGATCGCGGTTCAAAGCCAGCCCGCGCAGGAGAGACCGTGAGACTCCTATCTCCAATAAACCACCACCAGAAAACCGGAAGTGGCACTGTAGCTCAAGTGGTAGAGCACTTGCCTTGAGCTGAAGAGCTGAGGGACAGCACCCAGGCCCAGAGTTCAAGCCCTATGACTGACAAAAAAAAAAAAAAGACCCTACATAATAAAGCAAGAACAAAAAACCCCAGCTAGGGACATGGCTCAAGTGGTAGAGTGCCTGTCAAGCAAGTACAAGACCCTAGGTTCAAAGCCTAGTATCATTAAAAAATTCACAATATCTCTGGGCTGGGGAGGTGGCTCAGTGGTAGAGTGCTTGCCTTGCATGCATGAGGCCCTGGGTTCGATTCCTCAGCATCATATAAGCAAAAAGAAAAAAGCCGGAAGTGGTGCTGTGGCTCAAGTGGTAGAGCGCTAGCCTTGAGCTGAAGAGCTGAGGGACAGCGCCCAGGCCCACGACCGCACCCAAAAAAAATCATATTAAAAAAATTCACAGTATCTCTAAACAAGCTACTTATTTTCTCAATATTTCTAAACAAGCTACTTACTTCTAGTCCTGCTGAATAAAGTAGTGAAATCTGAGGAGGAAAAAAATCAACATATTTCTAAATACATCCAGTGCCAGGTAGACGCGCTCTAGGGAAAGCAGCTCCCCCCTCCCCGTCACATGACCCACTGGCACACTTTCTCTCCTGGCTGTATTTGTCCAGTTTGACTAAATTCCTGCTACTGAGGATTCATCCATTCATTTCTCTAGCAGCTGACCCTTTGGAAATCTTACCGAGAACAGAGGTAAGAACAGAAGTAAGAAAACACATGTAGCTGGGTGCTGGTGGCTCACGCCTGTAATCCTAGCTACTCAGGAGGCTGAGATTTGAGAATCAAGATTAAAAGCCAGCCTGGACAGGAAAGTCTGTGAAACTCTTATCTCCAATGAACCACCAGAAAGCCAGAAGTGGCTCAAGTGGTAGATCACTAGACTTGAGGTGAAGAGCTAAGGGACAGCGCCCAGACCCAGAGTTCAGGTCCTATGACCAACAACAACAACAATAAAAAATAAATAAAGGTGTCTCCTTGTCTGTGTCTGTGTCTTTGTGTCCTTATGAGAGCACCCACACTCTGCTAGAGTGTGCCCCTGCCCTTCTGTTTGTCTGCTTTTTTGTCTGTCTATTTTCCTTGCTTGTTTACTCAATAAAGCTCTGCCAAGTTTTCTTACAAAAAAATAAATAAATAAATAAAAATCAAGTAATTTGGTACTGGGGGAAAGCAAAGGAAGGGACGACATTGTCCAAAAGAGAAATTTACGTATTACCTAGACTGCGAAACACCCTTCTGTATAACACCTTTTTTTTGCCAGTCCTGGGGCTTGAACTCAGGGCCTGGATGCTGTCCCTGAGCTTCTTTTGCTCAAGGCTAGCGCTTTACTACTTGAGCCACAGCACCACTTCTGGCTTTTTCTGTGTATGTGGTACTGAGGAATAAAACCCTGGGCTTCATGCATGCTAGGCAAGCATTCTACCACTAAGTCACATTCCTAACCCTGTATATACTTTAATTATAACAACAGAATTATATTTTAAAAATTTGGTATACTCTTTAGTATGGCTCAGTGAGATTAACACAGGTGTCTCTTTAGAATTCACCAAACATTAGCTTCAAAAGAATAGGAAGAAGTATTTACCATTCAAAATTTAACAAGGAACTTATTAGGTTATTATTATTATCCAGAATAGATATTTTTTAAACTCTCACAACTCATTAAGATGTCAAATGAACCAGCTTGTAAAATGGGCTAAGGACCTGCATAGACAAATCTCCAAGGAAGAGACACAGCAGTTGGTGTTCAATACCTCTACCATCAGAAAAAAGGGGGTAGTAAAGTGAGAAAGGGCAGGAAGAGGAGGGGAGGGGAAGGAAGGAAGAGGAGGGGAGTTAGAGGAAACTGTCAATCTGTCCAATGTTTACACCAAGTCTGAAACCTGTACTCCCCACTGAGCCTTCCTGGTCAGGAAATCTTCATGCTGCTAATTCCTAAACCCTTTCAAATCTAGCTTCTCTCGGGCCCCATGGTGGAGCCTTCTCGGAGGCAGCCTCCAGTGCGAATCAGCTTCTCAACCACCCAGGTCACAGGTCTCTCTCCAGGTGCTTACAGTCTGTGGCTTCGGCCTTCCTTTGGTCCGGGGACACAGGGCGTTCTAGGGCTGGGCCAGCAGCTCCCGGCCGGCTGCTCACCCCCAGCCCAGGCTGCCTGACAGGCGTCCAACAACTGCTTACTCCGTCAGCTCAGCTCAGCTCAGCTCATGATGCTTGCTGTCTCCCTTCCTGCACCCTTGCCAATATGCTCTCCTCTTTCTTCTGCCGGTAAATCCCGGCTTGCTTAGAAAGCCTTCCTCACTAGTCCAATACAGTGAGTCCTATGAGTTGACTGAAGCACCCCCTCCTTGAAGTTGAGAGCTTGTTGTTGTTGTTAATTTTATTTTATTTTTTTTTGTTTTTTTTTTTTGGTCCGGTTATGGGGCCTGAACTCTGGGCCTGAACACTGTCCCTCAGCTCCTCAGCTCAAGGCTAGTGCCCTACCACTTGAGCCACAGCGCCACTTCCGGCTTTTTTCTTATGTGGTGCTAAGGAATCGAACCCAGGGCCTCAGGCATGCAAGGCAAGCGCTCTACCACTGAGCCAACTTCCCAGCCCTGTTGTTGTTAATTTTAGAGACAAAGGCTCCTTACACTGCCTAGGCTGTCCTTAACCCTCTGTTCTTCCTGCCTCAGCCTACCCTGTGTAGGAATTACAAAGCATGCGTCTAGCCGGGCGCTGGTGGCTCACGCCTGTAATCCCAGCTACTCAGGAGGCTGAGATCTGAGGATCACAGTGGGAAGCCAAGCAGAAGAATTAAACAGTAAAAAGTTGGACACGGAAGCATGCCAGGAGAAGTAGTACCAGCCTCCACTGCAAAAGGTAAGCAAGAGCATGAGGCCCTCAGTGAAGGCCGTGTCAGCTCACACATGCACACGCGCATACACATGCACGCACACACACGCACATGCGCACACGCACACACACATACACACACGCACATACACACACACACTTGGTAGAATATTCGTTCCATTCTTCTCCCCCCGGTTCACACTGCACAGGGTTTGTTGGCACTGGGTCTATTTATACCACCCAAATTTTTTTGTTGTTGTTTATTGGAGATAAGAGTCGGCTTTTCTGCCGGGCGCTGGTGGCTCACGCCCGTAATCCTAGCTACTCAGGAGGCTGAGATCTGAGGATCACGGTTCAAAGCTAGCCCCGGCAGGAAAGACCATGAGACTCCTATCTCCAATAAACCACCAGAAAACCGGAAGTGGTGCTGTAGCTCAAGTGGTAGAGCGCTCGCCTTGAGCTGAAGAGCTGAGGGACAGCGCCCAGGTCCAGAGTTCAAGCCCCACGACTGACAAAAAGAAAAAAAAGAGTCGGCTTTTCCTTCCCAGGCTGGCTTTGAACTGTGATTCTCAGATCTCAGCCTACTGAGTAGCTAGGACGACAGGCGTGAGCACCAGTGCCTGGCTCTATACCACCCAAATTCTTGTCCCATGGGTTGGGACCAAACCTCAACTTGTCCCAGTGGTTCAGACCTGTGACCCCAGCAACTGACATGGCCGCACCACAGTCCGAGATTGGCTAGGGCAATGTTAGCATGAGGCTCTATGTGAAAACCCAAAAAGCACAAAGCTCAAGTGGCAGAGCCCCTGCCTCGCAAGCTCAAGGAGGCCCCGAGCTCAAATTAAAGCAAAACTAAACAAAAAAGGTCAAGCACAAATGTTAAGTTCCAGCCTGGGGAAAGGACCAGGCGCCAGGGCCGTGGCCGGGCAGCACCCACCTGTAGCCCACCTTGCGGGCGTAGTGCAGACAGTTCTCCTTCACATGGGTCTGGAAGTAGGCAGAGCGGCAGAGGACCCCGCACTCCGGGCAACAGTAGGGAGACTTGTGCGCGTGGACCCGCTGGTGGGCACAGAAACTGCACTGGTTGGGCAGCAGCATCTGGCACACTTGGCAGGTCTAGGGAAGACATCGAGAAAGCAGGTGATGTGGGTGGCAGGTGCGGGGGGGGGGGTTGTCCCTCCCAGCATCGCTGGTGCTACCGCCGGTCCTCATTACGAGGGCTTACACGGGCACTCTGTACGTGCCGCCTCGTGAGGCCTAGGCCTTTCCTGGGCCACCACACGGCCGGGGCCGAACGACCCCACCTGCCTCCTAGAGAGCCAGAAGAGCACACTGCTCCCACAGCGCAGTCCCCACTGAGCAACTGCGTGCCTGGGTCACAGGAGAGCCTGGGGGAGAGCTCTGCTCCCAAGAGCGCGGCGTGAGGAGGCGGTGGTTCAGCTACAGTCCCAGCCCTTGAGAGGCTGAGGCAGGAGGGTTGCAAGTTCAAGACTAGCCTGGACAACATGAGCTGTGGCGGGGAGGCAAGGAAAGAGGAAGGCAGGGTGGCTCTACTTTAAAAGCAAGGCCCGGGGCTGGGAAGGTGGCTCAGTGGTAGAGCGCTCGCCTTGTATGCATGAGCCTGGGTTCGATTCCTCAGCACCACATAAGCAGAACAAGCCAGAAGTGGCGCTGGGGCTCAAGTGGTAGAGCTCAGCTGCAGAGCTGAGGGACAGCGCCCAGGCCCAGAGTTCAGGCCCCGTGACTGACCAAAAAAAAAAGTGAGGCCCACTACAAATGTATCATTGTCCATTGCTCTCTTTAAAAGTCTTTTTCCAAGCTCACATCTGTAAGCCTAGCTACTAGGGAAGCTAAGTTTGGAGGATTATGGTTCAAAGCCAGCTCAGACAGGAAAAGTCCCTAAGACTATAGGCTCTAATTAACAAAAAGCTAGAAGTGGAGCTATGGCTCAAGTAGTAAGAGTACCAGTACTGAGAAGAAAAAAAAAAGATAAAAGCTAAGGGACAGCGCCCCAGGCCCAGAGTTCAAGCCCCACGACTAACAAACAAACAAAGGATTCGTCAACACAAAGATTCACCGACACACTTGTGTCTACACTAGATTATTCAGACCAGCTAGGACATGGAAGAAAGGCAAGCCACCCATAGACGAACGGCCCACCAAAAGGTAGGCTATATATGGACACACATGCACGCACATGTATACACACACACACACACACTTGGTTTGTTTGGGTATTTTTTTTTCCTGTCAGTATAGGGGCTTGAACTCTGGGCCTGGGTGCTATCCTTAAGCCTCTTTGTGCTCAAGGCCAGAGCTCTACCACTTGAGCCATGGCACCACTTCCTGCTTTTTCTGAGTAGTTTATGGCAATAAGAGTCTCAGACTTGCCGGGCGCTGGTGGCTCACGCCTGTAATCCTAGCTACCCAGGAGGCTGAGATCTGAGGATCGTGGTTCAAAGCCAGCCCGGGCAGGAGAGACCGTGAGACTCCTATCTCCAATAAACCACCAGAAAACCGGAAGTGGCGCTGTAGCTCAAGTGGTAGAGTGCTCGCCTTGAGCTGAAGAGCTGAGGGACAGAGCCCAGGCCCAAAGTTCAAGCCCCACAACCGACAAAAAAAAAAAGAGTCTCAGACTTTCCTGCCCAGGCTGGCTTCCAACCACAATCCTCAGGGCCCAGCCTTCTGAGTAGCTAGGATAATAAGTATGAGCCACCAGCACCCAGCTCTGCGCTCTTTTGCTCAAGGGACTAGCACTCTACCACTTTAAGCCACAGCACCACTTCTGGTTTTCTTATGGTTCACTGGAGATTCAAACTGCGACCCTCAGATCTCAGCCTACTGAGCAGCTAGGATGACAGCCGTGAGCCACCGATGTCTGGCTGGGAATTTTTTAAGGCAGGGTGCCCCTATGGAGCAAAGTTGTTTTCAATTCCAGGTCCTTCTAGTGCCGGAATTATAGGTGTTACCTGTAACTACACCTGGCTGTCTTCTAAAAGAAGGAAATTCTGACATATCTATTACCTGGGTAGACGAGGACCTATTCAGTGAAGCATTCACAAAAGAACCCCACCCCTGAGACACCTACAGCAGTCATTCAAGAGACAGAAATACATCCGGGCTTGGGTTGGGGTAGAGAGAAAAATGGGGAATTGCATCTAGTTAGGGCACAGGTTTTATTTTTTATTTATTTTTAATCGGTCCTGGGGCTTGAACTCTGGGCCTGGGCGCTGTTCCTCAGCTCTTCAGCTCAAGGTGAGTGTTCTACCACTTGAGCCACAGCACCACTTCTGGTTTTCTAGTGGTTTATTGGAGGTAATAGTCTCATGGAGTTTCCGGCCTGGGCTGGCTTTGAACTGTGATCCTCAGATCTCAGCCTCCTGAGTAGCTAGGATGACAGGTGTGAGCCACCGGCGCCCAGCTCACAAGGTTTTATTTTTGACAACTGAAAGCATTCTGGAGATTTGGTTATACAGCACTGAACATAATTGAGAGGAAAGGAAAGGAAAACCTAAAAATGAAACTGTATCTGTGCCTTTTGCCACAATGTTAAAAATATTAATAGCAGAGGATCTCTTAAAGACCACTAGATGGGCAGGGATCAACTGGCTACTTCATTAAAGGGAACCAATTACCCCATTTCACAACAGCCACTCTATTCAGAGAAGCCTCAAGACTTACTGAAAGAGGGAAAGCTATTTTATACAGAATCCCAGCTTCTATGTGAGAAAAACACACCTTGCAGCTCCTAATAAAATTAGACTCAATCAGTGATGACTGATGATTCTAAATCATTAGTTAAAACATGGGCGCTGTGGCTAATACAGCTCACATGGGTTGCCATGGACGCTCAGGCTGTAGGGGTCGGGTCCTAGGCCCCAATTTCAACAGAACAAGCTGAGTGGGTGAACACAGTCCAGGCCACTGGGGCAGAGACCTACTGTGCTCTGCTCATAGCAAAAAGGCTGAACATGGGCTCAATCAGCAGATCACCTGTGGGGGGGGAGGGAGAGGGGTAGAGGGAGAGAAGGAAAAAGGGAGAGAGGGAGAGAGGGGAGAGGGAGGGGAGGGAGAGGGAGAAAGGAAGAGAGGAAGAGGGGGAGGGGGAGGGGAGAAGGGAGGGGGAGGGGGAGATAGGCAGCTTTATAATGAAGAGGTCTGAATTACCACACTACTCGGGTCACCAGCATGAGAAGTCAGTCCCGCAGACACTTAAGTGTCTCTTGTAGTGGTGAAGTAGGAGGAATACCACAGCCTCCTGTCCTCATCAAAGCAGGATCTGAACTGAATTGGGTTTTTATTGCTAGGTTATAGTCTACAGACAAAACAAAGAGTAAAAAATAAAGAGTAAAGGGAAAAAATTACTAATACCAGCAATCAGTCACACCCAGACTAGTTCTAGAAAATTCTTGGGACACGTGATCCAGTATCTTCAAAGTGTGAAATGGGAAATACAACAGACACACCATGTGGTCCCAGGCCTGGGGGGCGGAGTCAGAGGCAGAGTGCTCCCCTGTGGTGACTGCCCAGCACAGCCACAAAGCAACACAACACAACAAGCAGTGTTGGTAATCAAGAGGTGTTGGTATCAAGAGGCCTTGACCCAGAGGATGGGCCAGACAAGCCTGAGCATTTCTTTCTAAAACAGCCAGCAAAAATCCAAGCTGGAGGGGCTGGGAAGGTGGCTCAGTGGTAGAGCGCTTGCCTTGCATGCATGAGGTCCTGGGTTCCATTCCTCAGCACCACATAAATAGAAAAGGCCAGAGTGGCACTGTAGCTCAAGTGGTAGAGCGCTCGCCTTGAGCTGAAGCGCTGAGGGACAGCGCCCAGGCCCAGAGTTCAAGCCCCACGACCGAAAAAAAAAAAAAAAAGAAAAAAGAAGCTGGCGCCGGTGGCTCACGCCTGTCATCCCAGCTGCTGATGAGACTCTCATCTCCAATTAACACCCAAAAGCCAGAAGGAGAGCTGTGGCTCAGGTGGAAGGGCGCTAGTCTTGAGCAAAAGCTCAGGCCCTCCAGGGTGGGCACGGCGGCCGGGCTGTCTGCCCGCCGGGAACACACCTCCCTGCAGGGGCGAAGGGCCTGGCGGCCCGTGCAGTGTCTTTTCTTTCCGGACCTCTTTCATAACTATATCGTCACCACAAGTGATAAAGTTAATAACAATTCTTCAGTGTTACCAAATGCAGGTCCACATTCAAATTTCCCCAATTACGTAAAAAAAAAAAATCTTTGAGTTGAACCTTTTTCCTTTCCTTTTCTTTTTTGTTGGTCGTGAGGCTTGAACTCAAGGCCTGGACGTTATCCCTGAGCTTTTTCTGCTCAACGCTAGCGCTCTACCACTTGAGCCACAGTGCCACTTGTGGTTTTCTGGTGTTTTATTGGAGATAAGAGTCTCACGGACTTTCCTGCCAGGGCTGGCTTTGAACTGTGATCCTCAGATCTCAGCCCCCTGAGTAGCTAGGATGACGGGTGTGATCCACCGGCCTGAAGCCTGGGCACTGCCAGGGAGCGCAGGGTACCAGCGCAGGCCTGTTCTTGGTCCAGAGCGCCAGCTCCCTTCCTTGGGACTGGGAAGTCACGCCAAGCGGCGGATTTTGCATCTGACAGCCTGGGTGCTCTGGTCCGGCTCCCCAGGGGAGAGGTGGGAGAGGGGCCCGGCCTGGAGCCCTGCACCCTGACCTCCACTGCGCCCTGGGAGGATGGGTGAGGAGCAATATGGAAAAACCCCTGCTGAAGGCACTCATCCCAGCACTGGGGACTAGGAGTCCTGGCCAGACTGGGGAAGGACCGGCTGACTCTGCAGAGGAGGGGACAGGAGAGGCCACAAAGAACGCCATGGGGGTCTGACTGCAGAGGCCCCACAGGCAGGCCAGGCCCCGCCCCTCCCAGCTCCAGCCATGGGCGCCCCCCCACCTAACCCTGCTTCAGCCCCAACTTAGGCTGTTTGCCTGGTGACCAAGGACCTTGGCTAAGTCACTATGAGCCATGGGAGGCAGGGGTGCTCCTCACACCCCCCTCCCGCGCCCCCGCCCGCAGACGCCCCAGCGGCTCCAGAGCCCATATGCTGCTCAGCTTCCACCCAGGCCTCTGCTGGGCCGGCTGGGTGGGTTTGTGAGGAGAATCTTCTGTCCTCTTTGTTCTGGGGCTTGAACTCCAAGGCTCACTCTTTAAATGGCTGGTGCTGTACCACGTGAGCCAGACCTCCACTCTTGGCATTTCGGTGATTAATTAGAGATAAGAGTGTCAAGGATTTGTGTACCTGAGATGGCTTTTGACCTTAGTTCTCAGATCTCAGCTTCCAGAGTAGACAAGCTTAAAGGCTTATGCCACCAGTATCTGACATTATTATTATTATTATCCAACCCAGTGCCTGGATGCTTTCCCTGAGCTTTTTTTCTCCCTCTCAAAGCTAGCACTCTATCTCTAGAACCACAACTCCACTTCTGGCTTTTTTGGTAGTTAACTGGTGGTAAGAGTCTCCTGTGTTTTCCTGCCTGGGCTGGCTTCAAACTGCAATCCTCAGATTTCAGCCTCCTGAGTAGCTAGGATGACAGCTGCAAGCCACCAGCACCCCAGCATTATTATTAAACAAAGTCTCATTATGTAGCTCAGGCTGGCCTAGAACTTGTAGTCTGCTAGCCGCTGTCTCTTGACTATTGAGATTACAGGAATACATAGCCACACCTGGCTGGAGGCCTCTTTCTTGATGGGACCAATTAATGCAGAGAGCCGCTAACACAGAGGACACCAAAGGGCATTCTCAGCTCCCGGAAGATTCTTAAAAACAAAACACAACAAAAACAAAACAAAACACCCCCATCAAGTTGGGTGCTGGGAGGCTCACCCCTGTCATCTTAGGACATTCAGGAGGCCGAGATCAGAGGACCGTAGTTCAAAGTTAGCCTGGGCAGAAAAGTCTGAGAGATTCCATCTCCAATTAACCAGCAAAATGCTGGGCTTGAAGCACAGCTCAAGTGGTAGAGTGCCAATGTGAGCAAGCAAGAGCAGGTCTTGAATTCCAGCCTTGGCCTCAGCACAAAAACACAAAACAGATCTTAAGCACAAGAACAAGCAGATAAGCCAACTGCCTTCCTGAAGTGTTGTAAACATGGATGCAGGGGAAGGGTCTGGAAACTTCTGCTACAAGGCCCACATATCCGTCCACCACCCTCCTTCTAGCTCGGCCCTGCCTCTGCCTGGTGAGGCGCTCCAAAGGGAGCGTGTATCTACGAGAAGGCACAGGGACCTTGTGAAGACACAGTTCTGAGACAGAGGCAAGGGGACAGTAACTCACCTCCCTCTGCCCCCACGCAGAAACCATGAAGACCCCTTCCGAGACCAGAAGGAGACCATGCAAGAAAGGCCCACAACCCCTCACAGCCACTGGAGGCGGAGTCGAGGAAAACTCGGCATGTCCAAAATATACTTGCTGATCATTTCTCTTTTTCTTTCTTTGCCAGTCCTGGGCTTGAACTCAGGGCCTGGGCATGGTCCCTGGGTTTCTTTTGCTCAAGGCTAGCACTCTACCACTTGAGCCATGGCACCACTTCTGGCTTTTTCTGTGTATGTGGTACTGAGGAATCGAACTCAGGGCTTCATGCATGCTAGGCAAGCGCTCTGCCTCTGAGCCACCTCAGACGGAGGTCTCACTAGGTAGCTCAGGGTGGCCTCAAATGGACGATCCTCCTGCCTTAGCCTCCAACATGCTGGGATTACAGGCATGCACACCACACTTGGCTCGACTTGCTATAACTTCACACTATGGCCAGGGCGTGCTTTCTGAGTCTCCTAGCACTCCTCCACTGCTCCCATGTTGAGAGCTGCCCCTCACCCCCCTGCTGGACATCAGCCTCATCCTGACAGCACCACTGGATGGGCTGCTTACCAGACCCTCTGTCTCGCTGGCTACCCTCTGGAAGTGCGTGGCCAGCACCATGTAGTCTCTCATCTGCTTGTGGCACTCGGGACACTTGGTTCCATATCGGATGAGCCGCACGGGGTCAGGGTAGAGGGGCAAGGCCGGGACTGGAGGGGCAGCGCCGCCCGAGGAGGAGCCTGGCTTGGGGGAGGCCGGGGCGGTGGCGGTGTTCAGGGGGGCGGGCACAAACATCTGGTCGGCAGCGATGGGCTTGACCAGCAGCTGCGAGCACTGCATGACGAGGCCCCTGCCCTTGTGGTCGCGGGCATGCCGGAGCAGGCTGCACTTGTTGAAGAAGAGCAGCGTCTTGGAGCAGAGTGTGCACAGCACCTCGATGTGGACGCTGCGCCGGGCGTAGTGCAGGCCCAGGCTCTTCTCTAAGGCGAAGGCGTCCCCACACTCCAGGCAGCAGTAGCCGCTGGCCGGCACGTGGATCCTGCTGTCTGCGGGCGGGCTGAGGTTTGGCGCGTAGAGGGGCACGGGGTTAGAGCTGTGGAGCACCTTGTTGAAGACCTCCACAATCAGGGGTGCGGCCTTCCGCACCTGGTGGACCAGGGGCACAGACATGTGGGGGGGCTGCGGCTGGCCCCGCCCCTGGGCGGAGGACTTGGCCGTCACTGAGGCAGCCACGCTGTGGGGAACCAGGTTCAGGTTGGCCAGGTGCACGGCCTTGGGCAGCAGGTGGGCCGGGGCCGGGGCCGTGGGCTGTAGGGCGGTGCTCTGCTGCGTCTTGCCTGCCTGCGGGCCAGGGACTGCCCCCTTTGGGACCCGAGGCCCAGAGCTCTCATCCCCTTCACTGTCCCCCCGGGGGTTCCCTGAGCTCGTGCCTGCCTCCGGTGGCCCCTCCACAGGCTGGGGGAGGCCCTCATCCCCAGGCACCTTGCTAGAAGCCTCCGCAGGGGCACCCCCCACAGGGGACCCAGCGGGGGACTTGCTCGGGTCATCTGGATTGGGCAAGACCCTGGTGACGGTCCGTTTGATTTCCCCTGAGGACGTCTTGATGGTCTTGATCCTGACTTTGGGGATGGCGGGTGGGGAGCCCCGGCTGCTGCTGTCGGAGCAGGTGCTGCGGGGACTGGCGCTGCGCGGGCTGTCCAATGGCTTCACGCTCTTCCTTGTGGCCTCCAGAGGGCTCCGGGGACTCTTTGGTGACTTGGGCACTTTGGGGGCCTCTCTGGCAGGCCCCGGGGGGTCCTGTGCGTGACCAGGGTGGTCCTCCCTGGCGACGCCGGACACCCGCTTCGCCTGCAGGGCCACCAGGGCAGCCACGCAGGAGGACAGCTTGGAGTGCGCGGGCTTAAGGCGCTGCCGGGGGGGCGCGGAGGCGCAGGCACTGAGCGCGGGGGCCCGCTGCGCAGGGGGCCCTTCAATACTGCTGGGGCCGCCGAACCCCAAGGCTTCCCCTAGAAACTGGCCAGAGGCCAGCTCCTTGTGAGGCTCCGCGGCCTTCTGCACCCCCTGCCCTGGCTCCTGCCGGCCATCCGAGGGCAGGGGCTCCGGCTTTGGCTCTCTCTTACAAAAGTGGTCGAACATGTGCAGCTCGGGCACTGGAAACTTAGCCAGAGCCTCGAGGACCGGGCCCCCCACGGCTCCGCACCCAGGGGGTGGGGGGAAGTAACTGTCAGCTGCGTGCTTGGACTTGATCACAAAGCCATGCTCTTTGATGGGGTCCTCGGGCTCCGGGCTGGAGATGGGGCTGAACTGGCTGAAGGTTGGCAGCGGCTCTGACTTGGGAAGCTCCAGCTTGCCAGGGAAGCTCCGGGTGCTGTCTCCATTCACGAAAGGGGAGTCGAACTTCCCGCCGTGGTGGGGCTCCGGGGGTGGCGCTGGGCCCCGGAACCCGTTGGGCAGGAGGCTGGGCGCCATGTGGTCTTTCTCCGCTTCTAGTGACTCCTGGCGGCTCGTGTTCTTGACGATGACACTCACGGCTGGGGCGTCCGGCGCGGCCCCTGCATGCGACAAGGCCGCACTGTCATCTGCGCACAGGCCCGCGGGCTTCAGGGGGCCCTCCCTCTCCTCGCCGGGGGTCTGGATGGCCTCCTTGGCGTCCAGGCTGGTGGGGTCCGGGATGTCGAAGGCAGCCAGAAGGTCATCGAAGTCGGGAGTTTTCATGTCCCCCATGTCTGGATGCTGGCTAGGGCTAGGAAAGAAGGGGACAATGTGAGTGACCCCAGAGCGCAGATCCACGGCCACCACGCCCACGCCCACCAGCCACATGGAACCCCTCACGCGGGCATCTCCTCGGGCGCCCATGCTGCAGGGAAGAGAGGAGAGGAGCAGCTACGCACAGTGACAAGCCCGCTGCCAGCTCTTACAGCCTTTTGGAAGGGCAGCGCGGGCTGGCTGCTGGGCCAGGGGCGAGGGCGCCCCTCTCACATGCTACGTTCAGGGGCATCAGGGGCGTGGGTGCCACGCAGTGGCGGCGCATGCCAGAAGCCCACCACTCAGCCTCCTTCTTAGAAAGCTGACTCACAGACACGCGCGTGCTCTTCTCATCCCCGAGTACCAGGCCGCAACAGCAGAGCTGATCCAAAATACAACAGAAGCGAAGGGGACCTTGGCTCAAGGGGCGCAGTGCCTGCCTAGCAAGCCCAAGGCCCAGAGGTCCAGCTTCAGTACCAACGTGAGTAGATCAATAAAAATGGCACTGGAGAAACAGAACAAAATGGCACGAACTCTTCCTCCCTGCAGGACACTTCTGATTCTCACAGGAGACCTGACTTTACACCACACCCAGGTATCCACACCCAGGTATCTTTTTCTCTACTCAGCAAGTGCACGCTTAATTCCCTAACTTGGGCTGTTTAAAGGACAGAGCTCTCTGGCTCTCTGCGTCTGAAGTGAGAGCAAATTTCACCTACAAGAGAAGTAGTGGAGCCCCTAGGGGCAAAGACAACTCCAGACTGGCAAGTTGGTACGACAAGGCCCTTTCTTCAGAGAAATTTCTTTTTTTTTTTTTTTTTGGTCAGTCATGGGGCTTGAACTCTGGGCCTCAGCGCTGTCCCTCAGCTCTTCAGCTCAAGGCTAGCACTCTATCACTTGAGCTACAGCGCCACTTCCGGTTTTCTGGTGGTTTATTGGAGATGAGTTTCACGTATTTTCCTGCCCGGGCTGGCTTTGAACCGCCATCCTCAGATCACAGCCTCCTGAGTAGCTAGGGTTACTGGTGTGAGCCACCAGCGCCCAGCCCTTCAGAGAAGTTTCTATTCAGGAAAGATCTAGAAGCTTTTTAAAGGGTTACTACCAGTTCCCATTGTTTGTTAAGAGGATCTATGAATTCATCTAGGAAACTTTAGCAAATATTGAAGTGAGCACATTAGCGGGGCATGAGGAACAGATATGATTTTAATTTTGGAAGGGGGTCACCAGGCCTACTAGAAGTGAGAGGAAAGAAACAGGACTTCTGGTTATAGCAGAATTTTCACTGCCAAAACTGCACCCCAAAGACTCAGCAACTACATTTCGTAGGACTTGAGTGGTGGTGCATGCACTGTCTCTGTGCGTACATGAACGTCTCGGTGGTGTCACTGCAGAGAACGAGGAACAGTGAGGTTCTTAACCAGGCAAGTGTGTCCCCGGTACTGAGGCTTGAGCTCAGGGCCTCATGCTCTTACTCAGATCTTTTGTTCACAACTTGTGCTCTACTACCTGAAACACACCTCTACTTCTGCTTTCTGCTGGTTAATTGAAGAGAGGTCTCAGGAATTTGTATGCCTGAATTGGTTTCAAACCACAATGCTCAGATGTCAGCCTCCTGAGAAGCTAGGATGACAGGTGTGAGCCACCAGCACCCGGCCATGAAAAAGAGTCACATACTCAAAATCACTCAGAGGAATAAAGCTGAGCTGTAAGCTTTATGAAGAGGCTTATCTGTCATTCGTCACTACCTTCCCCATTAGGTACTCAAGGAATATTTGTGGAAGCAATAAAATAAAATCTTCATGTTTGCAAAAGGCATTAAAGCTGTTCCAAAGTGAGGTTGGAAATTAAAACACAAGTTCTTAAGAGTCTGTATAAACAGGGAAATTACAGCAAATGACCACCAGTGAAAGCAACTGTGAAGGAACATTTAGGGAGAATTCTAATTATACTTTAAAAATAACATGTTCTAAGCTAGCCGTTCAATAAGCCAGGCTGGTTTCACTCCAAAAGGCCCCAAAGACATCGAAGCAAACTCAGACTTGCGGTCCTGCCCTCATTTTAGACCCACTATGCCGGGGCTGCATGGTTTCACTTCCTCGAACCTAGCAAAGGCATCCCCAAAGCACACGCTGCCCTAAGAAATGAGACTGAGGTCCTAAGCAGGGCGAGGTGTTCATGCTCATCCAAGGGGGCCTCAGGTACCGCACGCCCGTACTCACAGAGCTCTGCTCACCGTACCCACGAGGAGGAGCAACCAGGTACTGGTAGGGCAAGTAGATGGTAAAATGTGGACGTCTGAATAAATGGAATATTATTGGCCTTAAAAGGGAAGGGTGGGGCTGAGCGCCCGTGGCTTGCACCTATCATTGTAGCTCCCCGAGAAGCTGAGATCTGAGGACTGCAGCCCAGAGCCAGCCCAGGCAAGAAAGTGTGAGAGTCTTATTTCCAGTTAATTAGCAAAAAGCTGGAAGTAGAAGCTCAGAGAACACTTGGGCCCTAAGTTCACACCCTAGGACAAGCGCCCACGTGCACGCGCGTGCATGTACACGTACACACACACACACACACACACACACACACACACACAAAGGGAAGGGGGCTGGGGATATAGCTCAGTGGTAGAGCCCTTGCCTAGCATGTGTGAAGCCCAGGTTCAAGCTATCTACCCCCCAAAAAGGAAATCTGACATGTAACACACTGCACGGAAGAGCCTTGAAAATATTATACTACGTGACCCAGCATCATAAGCCAGACTCAAAAGACAAAAATTGAATGGCTCCACTTGTGACCCTCTAAGAGAAAGCAAATCCATTGTCAGAAAGTGGAGAGGCAGCTGCCAGGGCTGTGGGAAGACTGGACAGGGTTTCAGGGAGTGAGGAACAGGTTCTGAAATGGGTGGCGGGGAGAACAAAGAGACAAATGGCACATGGTCTCCCTGATATGTGGATGCTAAAGCCAAAATGCAAGAAGATATGACAAATTAAACAGGCCTCAAGAAACAAAGGACAGTTACCCACTTTGGCATATCATTGCTAAATGACTCCCTGGTCTTGACCATATAAATGGTAGATATATGCACGCAATGGAAGGAAGCCAGAAGGAGGAACAGAATAAGTGGGAAACAGAACAACACACAACAAAGGGGCCCATCATAGAAGAAAAAGAACTAAGCAACCCAAAGACAGCGATGGGAAGGGAGGAATGAGAGGGAAGAGGGCACAGCCCACACTAAGCAAAGGAAAGAAATGTAATCATCACCTGATGTGGGAGAAATAATTTGTATTGTCAAAGCTCATAGAATTCAAAAACTTTATAGGTCATGATAATACAATTTGCCTTGTGAAGGTTAAAATGTGTTTGTGACTTTAACTAAGTATCATTATTCCACAATACTGTGAAGCATGTGAAATTTATGTAATCACCTAATCTCAATTTAAAGAAAAAGAGAGAGAAGGGATGGGTTGGAGGGATGGTGGCAATGTTGTCAGATGCCCTGTTCTCATACACTGTTTTGTAGAACGGGAGCTTCTTTGTACAACTACTTAAAGATATAATTTAAAAATGTTTTTTTTTTTTTTAAAGAAAGCAGGGGCTGGGAAGGTGGCTGAGTGGTAGAGCGCTTGCCTTGCATGCATGAGGCCCTGGGTTCAATTCCTCAGCACCACATAAGCAGAAAAAAAAAAGAAAAGAAAGCGAGGCTGCAGGGAGGGCTGCAGCCGCGAACGTGCTCAGGGCCCAGGAGCCACCCCTTTAGGGAGCTGCATTCATTTACCAACAGAACCAAAGGAAACCCAAGGAAGGGAGAAGCATTTGTAGGGGAGACCAGTCAGCCTGGCTCCATACCTCGGGCGGCTCTCAGAGCAAGGGCGTGGCGAGAGGCCCCAGGAGTGGGAGGGGGACTAGGCACCTGGTCTGGAGTCCACACACCACCTGTGGAGAGAAGAAAACAAATGCTGCTTAAGCAAACTTACAGGTAAGTGTCAATGCCTGGAAAGGGAGTCTAAGAAAACTTAATCTCTAGCGTGGTGCCTGACAATTCCCGCACCAGCAGGGAGCCGGACGCAGCCAGCAGGCGTTTCTGTGCTGCCCTGGTTTACCCAGCAGCCAGAACTGTGTCTCTTGGGCCCTGTCTCCCCTTGATGGATACTTGCTAGGAGTGTGGCCTCGGCGGGGGCTCTCTGGGACGGAGCGGCGAGGCCTCTGGCCCCAGGGGCTGGAGGGCAGGGGTGGAATGCAGGCATAAGACTCACCCTGGCAGGCGGGGCTGCTCTTCTGTGAGCAGGGCACAGGCAGGTCAGGAGGCTGCGGGACATGGGGCTGGGGTGCGGCTCGGCGTGTGCCAGGCCTGGGCTCCGCCCCCAGGACCGCCAGAACAGAAGGGCTCTGGGAGCGTCACTATGCTCTTCTCCCAAGTGGCACTCAGTCCATCCTGGGTGTTAGAAAAATGTTCCCTAGAGGAAACCCTGGCACCTCAGACTCTAGACAATAACCATGGCCCATGGAAGAAAAGCCTCCTTAAGACATTTCAGGTCTGGAAGCAAACCCTTTCCTAATTGCTTACAGCGGGTAAAGGCCTGAGGACAAAGTTCATCTCACAACTGTCAAGTTCACAGAGCACCAGCTAGGGCTGGGCCAGAACAAGTTTTTCAGAACTGACTGAAGATTAGAGATCCCTGTTGGCCCAGGTGCACAAGAGCTCTGCAGGACTTTCAACACCAATGGACACTCTGGTGAGGAGTGGTGGACTCAAGGTGATCTCAGCACCAGGGAAGATGAAGCCGGAGGATGCAGGGCAGCTGGATCACAGAGGACAGACAACCCAGTCTCAAGACAACAGCAAGATTCTAATTAGAAAACAGTGGTACTCAGTAGGCACTAAGTTGAGAATGAACTATAACTTTGAGAGGGATGGGAGGGAAAAAACTGGGAGAGAGCAAGGGAAGGAGTGACTGTCCAGAAAGAAATGTACCCATTACCCAACTTATGAACTGGTAACTGTACATCTCCTTTATAACTTAAAAGGGGGAGGTGCGGCCGGGCGCTGGTGGCTCACGCCTGTCATCCCAGCTACTCAGGAGGCTGAGATCTGAGGATCGCGGTTCAAAGCCAGCCCGGGCAGGAGAGACCGTGAGACTCCTATCTCCAATAAACCACCAGAAAACCGGAAGTGGTGCTGTAGCTCAAGTGGTGGAGTGCTCGCCTTGAGCTAAAGAGCTGAGGGACAGCGCCCAGGCCCAGAGTTCAAGCCCCACAACCGACAAAAAAAAATAAATAAATAAAAGGGGGAGGTGGGGGATGGGGATGTGGCTCAGTGGTAGAGTGCCTGCCTAGCATGCATGAAGCCCTGGGTTCAGTTCCTCAGTACCACATACACAAAACAAGCCAGATGTGGCGCTGTGGCTCAAGTAGTAGAGTGCTAGCCTTGAGCAAAAGAAGCTCAGGGACAGCACCCAGGTCCTGAGTTCAAGCCCCAGGACTGACCAAAAAAAAAAAAAAAACAAGTGAAAAAACAGGTTATGCTGGATGCCGATGGCTCATGCCTGTAATCCTAGCTACTCAGGAGGCTGAGATCTGAGGATCACTGTTGAAAGCCATCCCAGGCAGGAAAGATTGTGAGACTCCTATCTCCAATAAACTACCAGAAAACAGGAAGTGGCGCTGTGGCTCAAGTGGTAGAGCGCTTGCCTGGAGCTGAAGAGCTAAAGGACAGTGCCCAGGCCCAGAGTTCAAGCCGCATGACTGACCAAAAAATAAAAACAGGTTATGAGAGATGAAGTGATTTTTTTTTCCTAAGTCATATGAAATGGAAAGTTGTTTTTGCTGCTTGTAAGATACAGACTTTTTATTGATTGATTGATTGATTGCCAGTCCTGGTGCTTGATGAACTTGGGGCCTGGGCACTGTCCCTGGGCTTATTTTGTTCAAGGTTAGCACTGTATCATTTGAGCCACAGCACCATTCTGGCCTTTTCTGTGTATGTAGTACTGAGGAATGGAACCCAGGGCTTCATGCATGCTAGGCGATCACTCTACCGCTGAGCTACATTCTCAGCCCTTATTATTTTTAACTGACAAAATTATATTTATGTACACTTCTGTGTATCATGTAAAAAATATATACATGTATGTATGTGCAGTATTCATCACACATTTACTATCTTTAAGGACCTGAGACTCACAGCCTAAATGAAGTATTAGTGATATAGCTTTTACCACCTTAGCCAGTTTGCTTCAGGACAAAAGGCCTAACAAAGCAAGACAGAAATGGGGTCCCTCCTCTGCAAGTCCCAAAGCTCTGCCTAGCTGTGTTTCTGGACCCCAGAGCGCCTGGCCTGCGGCAGGCTGACAAGACATGCAGAGGCCTCAGGCGGGTGTCTCTGCCCCGAGCTGCGGCAATGCTCTCAGCTGCAGACAGGGAGCTGCCAAGAGCCGCTGCATGTGAGCAGCGTGCGCGGAGCCACACTGGCCCCCGCTCCGGCGTGCCCAGGGCAGTGTGGAGAAAAGGTCCTTCTGTCAAGGATGGGAGGCCCTGAGCCCCTCAGGAGTGCAGGGGAGGCTGGCATGTGGTCTCAGGTTTTAGCACCAAGCCCTCGGGCGTGGCTCACTCGGCCGCTGGAAGATGAGTGCTTTCTTTAGGAGCATTTCTAAAATTAAAAAAAAAAAAAAAAGCACCTAACTCAGGCAGGCAGGATGGCCCGTGCTATGACCCGGGGCTTGAGAGGCTGAGGCAGGAGGGGCTAGAGCCTGAAGCCAGCCTAGGCAATACAAGACTGGCTCTCAGAACCCACCAACCAAGCCATGAAGCAGCCACCCAACCAAACTGTGCACCCTCAGTACCACAGCTGCACGCTGGTTGGAGGAGCTGCCTAACACCCCTGGGAAGGGGTCGGGGTGGGGATGGGGGGCGGGGCTGGGCCGCACAGAGGGCTCCTCTTCTAACAGTGACCAGTTCTAGCATCATGCCTGGTTTTGAAGGACACAGTTCTGTACAGTCTGGCTTTTTGCTTTAGGACCTTCAATGTTTGTCTCCATGCTGACTGAAACATAAAAAAGCCTTTACAACATTAAAATGGTAGGAGAAAGCAAAAAGAACCAAGTAAAATCCTCACAGACCCCATAACTCAGAGGAAAGGTGATCTTACTGAGAACCCGGCCCCGGAGCCAGCCTGTCTATTCTGTTAGACCTGATGGACCACTCCTGCGGCCTCAGCCTGAGCTGTGGGATGTACTTTTGTTTTTGCCAGTCCTGAGTCTTGAACTCAGGGCCTGGGCACTGTCTCTGAACTTCTTTTGCTCAAGGCTAGCGCTCTACCCCTTGAGCCACAGCACCACTTCTGGCTTTTTCTGTTTATGTGGTGCTGAGGAATCAAACCCAGGGCTTTATGCATGTGAGGCAAGCACTCTACCACTGAGCCACCTTCCCAGCCCCACCATTTAATTTACCTCTTGATAGGCCACCTTCAACATCGGAAATGGAGATGGTAGGGACTTAAAGACAACTCTAGCTTGGTGGCACCAAACTTGGATCCATAGAATGGGTGCGAGATGACATGTCAGCACACATTCCCCTGCCATCAAAAACAAGCTTCTCGAATGTGGCCAGCTCCTGTCCAGGGTGTGGACATCACACCTGTCTGCAGAGCAACCAGACACCCACAGACGGCACAGCAGGACCTCGCAGCACTCCTATTCAGGAAGTTCATTTGTTAAAAAAGAAAGAAACAAACATAAATAAAATAGTTAAAACCAGTGTTTGCGTAGGAGATAAAAGTCTAACACAAACACCAGGAGGGCTGGGTCTGCAGCCCTACACCTGGGGGTGGCCCTCAGGCCACAAACAACAACATAACACAAGATGCCAGGAGTAGCTGTAGGCTCAGGATTTATTAGCAAGTTTGGTTTCCTCTGTATATCATCTGCATTTCCTAGGTTTTCTACCTGTATATGTATCCCCTGTGTATCTTTAGAGTTTTAAAAGGAATAACCAGCAACTGGTCCGTTCATTTTCACTGAAGGCTCTGCTCCTCCCATGGCTCAGAAGCAGGAAGCAGCAGCACAGAGTGTGGCAAAGCTCCTGCACAGAGTGTGGGCAAAGCTCCTGCACAGAGTGTGGGCAAAGCTCCTGTACAGAGTGTGGGCAAAGCTCCTGTACAGAGTGTGGGCAAAGCTCCTGCACAGAGTGTGGGCAAAGCTCCTGGGGCCAGCAGGGACGCTCGCTCGCTCGCTCGCTCGCTGGAGGATCAGGCAGGGGACATGAATTACTTTAGTTTTTGTTTCCAAACAGAATGGAAGTAAAGACTAAATCACTCTTCCTTCAAACGCAACTGCAAGACCCCTCCAATCTCCATACTTCATAGATCTCAGCTCCTAGACAACTTGCAACACATCTGCTTTTTTTTTTTGGTCAGTTGTGGGGCTTGAACTCTGGGCTTGGGCGCTCTCCCTCAGCTCTTCAGCTCAAGGCAAGCGCCCTACCACTTAAGCTACAGCGCCACTTCCAGTTTTCTGGTGGCTTATTAGAGATAAGAGTCTCACAGACTTTCCTGCCCGGGCTGGCTTTGAACCGCGATCCTCAGATCTCAGCCTCCTGAGTAGCTAGGATTACAGGCGTGAGCCACCGGCACCTGGCTAATGCAGCTGCTTTGCCACAGCCCAGACACCAAACTACCCATGCCCCACGGCCTGCACAGCCTTCCACAATACTTCCTTCTTAGTAAAGCTATGTCCTCGGGCTGGGAAGGTGGCTCAGTGGTAGAGCGCTTGCCTTGTATGCATGAGGCCCTGGTTTGATTCCTCAGTATCACATAAGCAAAAAGAAAGAAAGCCGGAAGTGGTGCTGAGGCTCAAGTGGTAGAGCACTAGCCTTGAGCTAAAGAGCTGAGGGACAGCGCCCAGGCCAGAGTTCAGGCCCCACAAGCAGACCCCCCCCCAAAAAAAGCTCTGCCCTCTTCTTTAAACTCACAAGCTAAAGATCCCACCCAGCAGATAGAGAATCACCTTTCCCATCCATCAATACTGTTAGTGACTACATTGAAGGGTTGCTGGAGAAAAGATTCCTTGTTAAGGGAAATATATATATTTTTTGGTTGGTCCTGAGGCCTGAACTCTGGCCTTGGCGCTGTCCCTCAGCTCTTCAGCTCAGTGCTTCTACCACTAA